TAAGCAAGCCTGGAAATGCTAAGCTGAGTTTTCCAGGTGGGAAAACAGAATGGCGTCTGAATAATTTCCAAGGATAAAACGTTCTTCCTTCCCTTTAAAAATGAACGTTCTCAGGTTTTTCCTGACTTGTAAATTTTCAATTGGCAAATCACCGTCCGCTGCTCGCCAGACCGAACCGTACATTTTTAATTGCCCTCGTGTGGATAATTCCCAGGGGATTGTCCCTCGTCGCCGGTATTATTTCAACAGAAAGTTTATTTCTGGATTAACCGGCCCGATTGATTTTTCCTTCGGCCATCCGGATAATCTATTTTCGGAATTAAAAATATCCGCGATGATACACCGATATAAATTTCGTGGAAGTATAACATTTCGATGGGCTACAACAATTCTCGCTCGGGGGAATTTTCCATCACGTTACATCAATTTTAATGACAGATTTATAATTAATATTTGATTAATTAATTGACTAATAACCGGTACATAAAAATAAGTAAAATTTAACTGTTGAACCAATACGCCGCTCCTTTCACAACTTGAGCTCTCGTGACTTCCGCACAAATTTAATATAAAATTTTGGTCAACACTGAAGACGAAACGCGTCCGATAACCATCCCAGGAAGCATAAGCAGGCCAGGATGATCTGAAACGACGAAATTGATTGAAGGGTTCTTCACCCTGTATACCACTCTAATCTAATTTTACTGCTGAATTTTGACTCGCTTACCATAATGTAAAATTCAATTTTTATCGCCCCAGCCTCTTTTAAACTTTTTTAAACAATCAAAATTGTGTGGTGATTAGTGACCGTTAGTCGATGATTATTCAGAAATCGTGAGATGCGGTCTGGTGTGATGTAGGTTTCAGAAAAACATTTTCTTTATCGCGTCAACGTTTCGATCTTTATTGAGATCAGCTTCAGGGCCTGGGATTTACAAGCATTGGTTGAATTAACAAAAACATGTAGGATGTGGAAAAAAGTGAATTTATACAATGCAAAAAATATTTTTTTATATTCAATCAAAGTATTTCTACTCACGAAAAAAACAGACATTCTGAGTGAGTAGAAATACTTTGATTGAATATAAAAAAATATTTTTTGCATTGTATAAATTCACTTTTTTCCACATCCTACATGTTTTTGTTAATTCAACCAATGTTTGAAAATCCCAGGCCCTGAAGATGATATCAATAAAGACCGAAACGTTGGCACGATAAAGAAAATGTTTTTCTGAAACCTACATCACACCGACCGCATCTCACGATTCTGAATAATAATCTAAATTGTTCTAAAACAAAATTATTTCATTTATTACAATTAAAAATAAATATAATATATAAATTATTATTAATAATGCGGAGCACTGTAATGTAGTGAGTTTTTTAACCTGTATTTTTTTTTGGCCAAAGTTCGAATATGAGAAAATAGTGCTTAAGCAGGATTAGAAAGGTCCAAGTTACAAAGCCGGGATTTGATCCATGGACTAAGTTAAATGGGCTTTTCCATCTTTCTCCTATTCTAGGAAATGTTTAATAAAATATACTGAATAAAAGGTAAACCAAAGCCTTGATAGAAATATCCATGCGCAGGTTTATTTGACCTTACTCCCAGTATTGAAAAAATAAAGATAGTTAATCAAATCTGACAGATTTACAATAAAAATAGTTGCATCTCTTTGGATTGTGATAATCAAATTAATTTTTTTTTTAGTAAAGGTCGTTCTGCCGTATTTATAATTCATTAGAGTTCGTGGTCCGATTGACCGAATAACGTTTTTCAAATAATTAATCGTTACATAAGGCATTGGTTGAGATAAAAAAGTCAGTGTCACTAGCGGGATTCGAACCCACGACCCTCGGCTAAAGCCGTATTTAAGCGAGGGTCGTGGGTCCGACCGAATCCCGCTCGTGACCCTGACTTTTTATCTCAATCAATATCTTACATAAAGATTAATTAATTGAAAAAACTTATTTTTCATTTTTTGTAGCTGTAAACATAATTTTTTTTGGTAAATTAAACAATACAAAAGATGTTGGTAATTTAACCTGATTTCAAATAATAATGCGAGTGACTGTCACGGTTTTGTGTCAAACAAAAGACAAGGCGGCTCATGTTACAAATAACAGCGTTATTGATTAAATTAAATTATTTTTTACTCAATCTCGGCATAATATCGTTATATTTTATAATAAAAATGGATTTGTAAACTCCTCCGCCATTACGTAAAATTGGTGGAAAAGGCGCGCACAATAGCCAGGGTAATATTTCGCCATCTCCAAAGCGGATATTGCTGCCTAAATATCCGCTGTTGAAAATTCTGAGGCAATTGCGCCCCAGGCGAGGAGTTCATTATAGTCGTAACGTTATCCCTGTTTTATATTATTTAAACTGTACAGAAAGTCATCTCTCCATTATTATTATAAGTGCGAAGTGGGCCTTTCGAGCCTGTCTGCCGGACCACTTTTTCTCTGTTGGCTTTTCTCTCTGAATTGAAACAATCAAGGGAGAAAACTTGACTCCATATTCTCTTTATTTTAACCACAGTAACTATAGAGTGAAAGCCGGGGCGGATGCCTGAAAAAAAGCAATTTTGTTGGTCGAGCAACAATCGCTAGTCGCAATAAGCTGGCAGCTTGTGAGTTGTGACTTTACTACCGATTAGTCGGCAAAAAGCTCGTTTTATTTTCTCGCAATTCAGCGCTAAATGTGAACCTCGTTATAAGTTTAAAAGCTCCATCTTAGCAGCTTATCAACAAACATATAATTATTTAAAGAAATCTGCCTATCTCTGTAGACGTATTAAGTTCTTTATGTCGAAAATTATTAAGACAATACGCTGCACTAATTCTGCGTAAACTAAGCTTAAGTACGATTAAGTTACGAAGAAGAAAATAAGACTGCGCTATTAAAAGCATTTCTAATAACTGCGTGGATCATGTTTAGTACTCTGAGATTCGCTTGCCATGAGTTTAGAATATACCCACCCACTTTAGCCTGCTTCCAGACGTTTTAGGAAGCTGAAGATCTCGTTGATGGGATGTAATTAGATAGATCCTGCAAACATACTCAGATGAGAGTATGACCCACGTCATTGAGTTCTGGTACTATTGGATTATGATTGTGATGTTAAAAGAAAAATGTAGTTTGGTCTTATGGTAACTATGTTGATCTCCTCAGAAAAAAAGGTTTAAACAAGAAAAGAAAAACAAATTTTAAATAAAAGTTAATCCTTCTAATTAAAAAAAAATAGAAAACATATATACATTAATTAACAAACAATAAAAATTATGATACAGGACTCTACTCACAATCCACACTCAGCTGAGATATGAAATATTACTTTTTAAATTTAGGAGGGACTAAAAATCGAAAGCCCGTCTTCACGTGGTCGCCCCTAGAGCGAAGAGAGCGAAAAATCCTTTTTTCATCCGAGAGGTTTTTTTCCCCGCGAAAACTCTGATCTTTTTGTGGCGCCCTTTTCCAAAAATCTCCAATATATATATATATATATATACATATATGTTATAGTCTATACCGTCACTCTGGTTTGCCTATCGCTTTTTGTGTTCTTCAGCTAGTTTCAACATTTCCTTATCTTGAGTGGTTGGTTATTCAAAGTTGCTTTTGTAGTTATGTGAATGGTGTGTTAATGTTAGCATTGTTTGTCTCTTTAAATCTGTTGTGTTTTTGTATTTCAAGGTTTTCAAGTATGCCCATTTTTAGTCATTTCGGTACGTTATTTTACGAAGTTAAATAAATCAGTTTATTATTGTAGCTTTACATACTTTTTATGTTGAAAATCGTTAAAAAATACGCTTATTGTTTTATCAACCGTCATAAATTTGCACAAAAATTAGTATATATACACTGGGAAAACTAAACACAAAAAAGGAATAACAACATGAAAACCGAGTTCGATAAATATCTATTGCCATAATTCTGCACAACATACGCTAATGTACGACTGAACGATGAATAAGAAACTAAGAATGTCATATTAAAAGGATTTCGTTGGATCACCTTTGGTAGACTGATAATTGCACATGATGAGGGGTGATCCACTCGAAGTACCTTCCCGCTGTATGAGATTCCCAGGAAGCGGAAACTGCCAAAAAATACTTAGATTAGGCCATGACCCACTTCGTTGAGTTGTAGTGCTGCGCTAATGATGATGATGTTTTTGAAAAAAGATGGCAGTCAATTCCAATCACTATGTTCTGTCTGCACTTGCTTTTTTGGTCTGTCAGGCGAGTGTAAACATTTCACTCCTGCAGTAGTTAGTTTGTTGGTTTTGTACTAACTCAAGTCCCTTTTATACGTACGTGAAAGGTGTGCCAGTGCCGGATTAAGCCTGGATTTTTCAGTATTTTCTCCAGTCTGTTATTGAGATCGTTGAGATAGTCGTGATTGTTTAATTGTGTGTTCATAAGTTTCTTTTTCTTGAATGTGTTTTCTTTCTATATGTCATGATATTGTATGTCTATTTTTCGTCTGGTAAATCGTAAAGGAATTTCCGTAACGATCCGTAGTGTTTTTGATGGAGTGTATTGCATAATTTGACTTACCGCCATTGTCCCTAGGTGATGAACCTTAAGAAGAAATTCCTGACAAAAAAATTAATACTAATAAACTAGGGATTCGGTGCAAATATGTAAAGCCAAGATGGTTTGGTATAATATTCAATTATAGATAAATAAGGTTATTTATTTCAAAACTTATAAGACAATTTCTCCTGAAATTTTTCTTTAGTTACATCCATTTAACATAGTGTTTTAAAGCGTGCGAATTATAACTAACGTTCATAATATTTATTATTATTTTCTGATGATGATATCTAGTATAGACGTAAGAAGAAGATCATAATTTGAACTTAATTTATTCTTACGACATATACCAATCATTGTAGTTGAAGAATGTTTATAGAGTCTCCTTTAAAGTTTCTAAAAATTTTCTAGGCCAGCTGTGCCCGATGAGCTTTATGAGGTTGATAAATCAAAACTGCCAATAACTAAATTTATTTATTAACTCATTTCGGTCACTCACACATCGGGTGGCTATCTTCGCATACGATTTCCCCCCTCATGATCCTTGCTGTTGAGCAGCCGATGCACTTGCCGCATTTGCACGTCATGCCGATGCCGCATTTGCCTAGGTGGTTCGCCCTGCCACCACACCTTTCACCAGGCCCCGCGCCGCACACGTACCTGCCGCAGGCATCTTTGACAACCCCGTCTAGACAGTCGGTCGGCTCGACGTCGCATTCTTCGCCATTGCAAGGGATACACAGGCTGAACAGTCCGGACGCCTCCCAAGCCATCAGCAGGACGGAGAAGATGATCAAGAAGCGGAACAGCATTGTCGAAGAGAGACTGACTGAAAGGAGAGACCTCTCGGACCTTTTATATACACTGCCGTCGCGCTTACAGCTAATCCGAGGCGATCGGCTGTGAGAACTCATTTCGCCCCCAATCGAATTAATTCACAATTTCTATTTTTACTCCAAGAAATTGGTAAGAAAAAAACCACTTCTTATCCTGAGCAATGCTGTTCCAATTAACCCAGTCTTGACTGGTAATTGAACGTTAAAAAAAATCTACTGATTCACTTCTATGAATTCCTGATTAACTTTTTTACCATTCATCATTTGGTAACAATTAAACAAGTTATCCATAAATGAATACAGTATTATTTTTTTTTAAACTGATTAAACAGGCATATAAGTTTATAAACTGAAAATGATTTGTGTGATGCATTCAAAACCAGTATTATAAAAATTATATGAAAATATTGGTAGCAAAACTGCAAAGCAAGCTGGAATTTAATACCGAATTAGGATGCACATTAACAAAAATATTACAAAAACTAGGAAACGAATAAATAAAATTTAAAAAATCAGTTATAGGGACAAATCCCAATCATTAACATGTAATCTTGGCTTTGTCACTTGATTTATAAGTTGCGGATTTGGGATTTATACAGGGTGTTCGGCTACTCGTGTTACAAACTTTGCCAGTAGATTCTACATCCAAAATGGAACCAAAAACTCCTAATTAGCTACGGTCCGAATCTCAACAGTTTTGGAGTTATTCCCCTTTTTCTGATTTTTTTAAGATTTGACGACCTTGCGTCATATAAACAATGATAACTCCAAAACTAAAAGGTTTTGGACAAATCAAACACGTTTTTAGTTCATTCATTCAAAATTTACTTAAGTTTTTATTTATTTTAATCTTTCCACCTTACCAATCAGTCAACCACGGGTTTTTCTTTTCCTTCATCAATTTCTTCATCTTAGAAAAAGTAATTAAAAAAGCAATTACACCGCTAAAAAGGATATTAAATGGAGTACGTGTTCTGAAATTTGCTGGTCTCTAAGTTTGGAAATAGTAGTGTAGAATCACCATAGTAAGTTTTTTAACTTCGAAAAAAGAATTATTTTTCAAAGTTATGGCTACTAAAACCCTTATTTCACCAACGTTTTCAAGTCTAGTATTGATCACATCTTATTAGAAATTTAACTTAGTTTTCAATGGTATCAACGAATGTGTTACAAACCTTTTAATTTTGAGGTTATCATTGTTTATTTGAAGTTTGATCGTGAAATCTTAAAAAATCAGAAAAAAGGGAATAACTCTGAAACTGTTGAGATTCGGGCCATCGTTAATTAGGTCTTTTTGGTTACATTTTGAATGAAGAATCTTTTCGCAAAGTTAGTAATCCGAGTAGCCAAACACCCTGTATAAGCTCAAATCTGCACAAGCACACACATATACAGAGTTGAGCATATCATTTCTCGCAGTCCACTGCCAATTACAGATTTTGTACTTTAGAACTTGCAGGTTTCGAGAATAACCTTTACCGGGTGTTGGCAGTCTGGGGTCAGACCTCCGTTTTATCCGTCCAGCCTCCGAAGATGGGCTGAAAGGGGTACCAACAGCTAAAGCATTTCAGCTCCCAACGCAAACAGTACCAAGATTCGAACCCATTCATACGCTCACTCACTAATAAATACAATCTTTCCAATTTGCATTGCATTCAATATTCCTCCATTACCCATTATAACCATTATATAACAACCTAATTGAGGGTCGATGGGGTACTCGATATTCCGCCTTCGACCAGGCCACATAACACATTCGCGCTCATAAATACATTCACCCTCAACACACTTTTGGACACAAAACTATCATCAAGAATCGGAACAGGGATGTAAGACAAAATTATTAATGGATCTACATTATTAATCTTCTTTCTTCATTTGTTTTCTACAATTGAACAGTTTTATTATAACGAAGGAAGGACGAATCGACCGTCAGGATATCAATAATAAGTTAAAGTTCAGGGATGTTGTCATCAGAAGAAGCAGATTTTGTAACTTACGCCAAGCTCTGGCAGTTACAACATTTGTAACTAATAATTTCAATTCAAGAATATAATTGCCGGTAGAGCCCTTGATGAAGTCTTCAATAAAGGTTGAAAGCTTGGCGTAAGTTACAAAATCTGCTTCTTCTGATGACAGCATCCCAGCACTTTAACTTATTATGTTATCATTCAGAACATTTTCATTATTTGTGAATACCAAGCCATATCACGTGTGCTGTAATCTCGGTATTACAAGTTTATAGTTGATTTTGTGTAAACATTTTGTTTAAACTTTTGCTTATTACGAATAGTTAAAATTCTAAAAATGCCTGAGTGATGTAAATGATTATATTTATAGTTTGGTCTAATAAAGGAAAATGATTGTCAGTGTTGTAAGAGCTAACACGGAAGGTGATTAAGATTAACAATCTGGAGCTATTGATGTTTACTATTAATAAGAATTAATAGAGAATAACCAAAGCAGAAATAGATCAGTTTTCCCACCGATTAAGTACATAAAGTTGACAGGTGATTAACGACAAGTAATCTTTAGTAATTGTAAACAAGTTTTTTTTAAATTATATCAATGTCAAAATTAACATCGATCTAATTGATACTTTTTAATCACTGGCCTAATGAATTTTAAAGTTACTTCAAAGAGAATTTGTCACTAAGGCAAAAATATCTATTAATGCATCCCTTGTCACATTAAGCCGTTAAGCTTGATATTTTATATGTTGAGTATATTCTAAGTATATACCATAGACTCATACTTTAATTTGATTTTTGTTTTTATTTATACAAAAAACAGATACATAATTAAAAAATACAGTACGACATGGATAACAATCCGGGAGTTAACTGAGAGTGAGAAATAAAAGTGTCACAACACAATCAAAAATGAAAAATATTTCAATGATATTCATTTCAACGAATAGATACTTATGAAACATAACACAATTATAACATTTAAGTGAATATAAACAAAACTTTTAAAAAAATCATAGCCATAGGGAACATAGGGAATATGAAAGAGAAAAATTAAGTAACTTTTATTTTAAATTTTGCTATCTTTTATAAACAAAAACGTTTCCTACCAACAAATTATTATTTTATCTTGGAATCGAATTTAACTTATCGCTGCTTCAGAAAAAAAACAGGTTTTATCCACTGTACGATATCAACAAAGAATTACCGATTTAAACCAGCTATTTAAGACTATACCTAAACAGACTTGAAATGCAAATACAAGATTTAAGAGACTTGTCACGAGCGGGACTCGTGGATCGAATGGATCGAAGTCACGATAGCTCGAGTGGTGGAGCGGCGCGTGTTTAGCCGAGGGTCATGGGTTCGAGTCCAACTCGTGACACTGACTTTTTCATCTCAACCAAGACCTTACATAATGATTAATTAATTGAAAGAGGTTATTTGGTCAATCGGACCACGAAATCTAATGGATTTATAATATCTTTGGCCGTTAGTAGCGTTTTTTGATTAGTATCAGATATTATTCACAATTCCCTTACTTTCGCACTAGTATGAATATATTGTAATACATTACACTAAAGTAAACTGAACTTGATCCTAAAGTAGAAATGTGTCATATTTTTCACTTTTTTAATATTAAATATTTCAGAAGTTAATTAATGCAAAATCTAATTTGTTATTGTATTGAAGTCTATCTTTTGTTTTGCTTTGAATCTTCAAAAATAAATATCCGGTTTTGTTTTAATAGATAATAAGTATTGACATTTGTAGCACCATGCTAATTGCCATCTGAACCGTGGAACCTGTAGACAGACATCTAATGTAATTATCACCCGTTTGTTAGGCTTCTAGTGCCTCCTTGATATAATTACTAGAATATAAGTCAGATTAGATAATTAAAATATAGGGAAGTTAAAAATAATGGGAATTTGCCTGTAGACACAGAATCCCATCTGACAGTGTTTATATTCCGAATTGCACCAAGATTTATCAGGAAATATTTTCCAGCATAATCTCGACTGGTATTTAGCCAAAAATACAGCCCATACATTCAGTGGAGGTTACTTTTTAGTCAAAAGCTAAACCTGCAGCATAGCGTTGCAAAAGAAGCTGTTTATTTGTTTCGCCAATTCTTGCCAACATTTATCACTGGTATGCGACAACTTTTCTTGCACTCTAGTTATTTGATGATATATATCAAGCAAGAAAGGTTTATATTTATTCGCATTTTATGCATTTTTTTTAACTTAGCAGGTTTTCACTGTAAGAAATCATTTTTCAGTTTTTATAAAGCATAACGATCAAATGGTGGAATGTTCAACCCTGTAAATAAAGACTTCACATATATCGACATTTTTTACTTATGGAATTGTCCAATCCGGGTTATATAAAATAATATTTTAATTTGACAAATACATTTTAATCAAATTAATGGAAGCTGGAACTTTTCTTTCCATTTTTACAAATCTTCCGCAGTTAATTGGCATCATTTCATGATGTTTGGGCGTTGTTTTAGGGTTATTTTATGGCCTAAAACAACTTTATTATTCATTTAAAAGATTGTGTGGTTTACCATTTGTATTCTTCACATATTTGTATAATTTAGTTAAAAGTTACATTGCGCCGGTTGGGGGCATAGCTCAAAGAAATCGTTAGGTCATTCATGCCCCATGGGCAATCTAGAACTTCCAATGTTCCCAATTGATTTTTGTTCCCAACTATTGTTGCCACTTCCATTGTTTGTCCAACTCTTTCATTGAACTGAATATGCTGATTTATATAGCTCCGAACCATTTCGTGTAAAAGTACAAGAATTCCTCCTGTGCAGGAACTTCCATCGTCAGGATGTGGAATTTAAAAATAATTGGTTTCATACATTTCCATTTCCTGAAGCAAATCCTGTATCAAAGCCGTAAATCCAATCCATGTTACCTAAGCGATAAATAATTAACCTACCTGATGGTCCTCAAGGGCAGGTCTGAAGCACATGCCAATATATCTATGCTAAAGATTCCAGTGTTATCAGGTTTCATTATGTTGAAAACGTTTTTCCAAGTCAATGTTAATTAGCTTACAAGGAGTAATTCAGGAATTAATTCATCACCAGTCATGACGCGGGGCGGGGTCGATAAGTTTTCCCCGACGGTCCCCATCCCTCGAAGAATATCTAATGAAGGAGTCTATTAATTGTTCGGATGCAAAAATGGCGCAAGGGGGTATATAAAGCGGGGACCGAAGAGGCGACGGTCATTTCCAACCATGGTCCGATCTGGATACACAGCCCTTTCCATCTTAGCCGTCTGCTGCATCGCGACTCAAGCCGGCTCCCACATCCACGACTGCGCACCCTGCAGGGGCGAAGAGTGCAACAAGTTCAGGACTGACTGTCCGTATGGTGTGGTCAAAAATTGGTGCGAACACTACGTCTGCGGTCAGGGTCCCGGAGAAAGGTGCGGCGGCCGTCATCAATTCGGTCTGATCTGTGGCGACGGTATGCAGTGCAACAGCTGTAAGGTGTGCACTGGATGTTCTCAAGCTATGGCCGAAAATGGAATTATGTTATGCGATAATACATACTGTCCGCCTAATTACTAGACACAGCATATTCTAAAATGTGCCTTTTCCTCTTCGAATTCAATCCATTATATTAGTATTATGATTTCAATTGCTGTCATAAACTGTATTGATCATGAAACTTTCAATAATTGTTTGAATTGATAATCAGGAATGTTATCGAACAACACTTGAGATGAATAAATTGTGAAAACACAAATAAATTTACCAAAGGCCAAACATGTATTTTTTCATCCTAATTAAGTTCTAGATAATAAAATAGATGCCTCTTTAATGAATTATCAACCTCGCTCGTCCACAACCCTCGACGAGTTATTGGACGTCCTCTCGTCGAAGGAATTTACTTGGTTTATTAAAAATAATAAATTTGAAGAAGATTATGTAGTGATAACATTCTTCTCGAATGTACTTGTCATGTTTTATCTTATTTTTAATTCAGTTATTTATTTCCAAACTATGTTTGACGACCTTTTATTATAACTGATAATAAGCTTCATAGTTATGAAGGTACATTATCTTTGAATGCTCATAGTTGCTTCATTGTTGATGAAGTAACCGAGTGGCCTCACCCCTGATGATCGCCTTTTACTAGAAAATCACCAATCGACGAAATAATATAATGTGAGGAAACAATGGCATCTCCATTTAAATACTCAGTTTTTGTAAATCTAATTTGATTTGCCTCAGCTTACATGTACATTTGTGTCAAAGTAACTACGAAAGAAAATCTAATCTTTCCTGTTACCGCTGATTCTAATCTAGTTGGGAGTGTTGAATAGTATATTTTGAAGAGATTTGAGAGAAATGTGAAACATTCGTTACAACACATTTTAGTGATAGTTTTTGTTTCATGCTAACTATTGAACACTTATTAATTTTTTGAGATTATAAAATAATTGAGCCAATGCGTCCAATAGAGAAGAAAACTTATACCATCCTGGTCTGATATGATTTTTAGATGGTTTTTACTAGTATTTGTTGAGTTTTTGTAGTAGATGATTGGTTTTGATCTGCGAATGGGTGAATTCATTTGAATATCTCAAACAAAAAAACTATTAGTGCAGGCAGATCCAATAAGGCCCGTGTGCCGGTTCAACATATTGAGTTATTACTTGTGAGAGACGGTTGCGATGACATTGACGGACCTAGGATGTGACCTTGTGCCGGTTTAACTTGGATTTCCTTTTTAACAACTAATAGGAAAACGGTGGACGTTACAGTCGTTAAATAGAGGGGGAAATATCACATCCAATAAAAAAATCGTATATTTATTAAGATTAATTAAGGTTTTTAGTCGAGATAAAAAAAGTCAATGGCACGAGCGGGATTCGAACCCACGATCTTCGGCTAGATACGCCGCTACTCTACCACTTGAGCTATCGTGACGTCGATCCGCTCGGACATTAACTTCCTATCTCAACCGCACCTTTTGAATATTCCCTCCATTTTGCCATTTTTCAAATGCCGTGTAATCGGATTGGATTCTCGGCCACAAATGTAATTTTTATCTCGACTAAAAACCTTAATTAATTGTAATATATTAATTGGTCAAGCGGACCACGAAATTAGTGAATTTAATTTTTATTAAGGTTGAAGCCTTAATTTCGAATAATGTAAGTAAATTTTTATATTTGTAAAACATTTAAATGATTAGTAATAATTAAAAGTGCAATGGGAGTTTGGATAAATGGGACCTGGTAGATCAATTGCGTAAGTGAGGACTTGTACCTGGGTCACTTCCGATACCATTTGAACCCACCTCCCCACCACCATCCTTCCGTCTATGCGGAGCCAAACTGCACAAACCTTACAGTGAACGCACCCTTCACAAATGAAGAGCTAATCTCAATTATCCGCAATCTAAAAAATAATAAGCCCCTGGTATTGACCGAGTAACTTACGGGTTTTATAAACATGCATAGCAGCCATTGTTGAACAAGTTGCTCCCTATCTTTAATTATATCTATGAATTCAATAGAGACCCGTCTTCTCTTGCTAAATCTCTCTTCTTCCCCATATTTAAAAAGGTGTCAATAACAATCCCTCAAATACAGAGGGATCTCCTGCCTGGATTCAATGACTAAAGTTTTTCTGGACTTTTGTTAAAACGTTCAGAGTCTTTTATTGTTGGCAATAATGAAAAGTCCGAATTCCAGTCGGGGTTTAGAAAGGGAGACTCGATAATAATAACTTGTTTATTTTAATTAATTTAATTAAACAAACTTTTGAGAAGCCTAAAAAGAAACTGTACTGCTTTTCATCGTTCTTACCGCGGTATTTGATACTATCCATTGCCATTCTTTGTACTTGAAGCTTTTTGATTATGGCGTTTCGACTACATTTATAGCAGTCCTGCAAACCTTGTACTCACATGCTACAATCAAGGATGATGGGCTAATCATTTTCCACGTATCCAGTGCAGTCGGACAAGGCTGTATGTAATAGGGACTGCATTTTGGTTATTGTCTCAAATTTATCACCGTCTTTCCTACATTATAGCAGCAGAAGTCATTACAAACAAAATTTCTTAGTTTAAAATGTGGATTTTGTTATTTAATATGGAAAATAAATCTGTGTGGATTCTGCAACATAGAAACATCCTCAGCTCAATTAGGCGATTTTTAAGTGAACCTTCGCAACGCGTGCGAGGTTTTGAACCGATGTTGATATACTAAGCATTAATAGAGGAGAAAATGAATTTGTGCCGTTCTTTGGGCCACTCTTTGCTTTTCAGGTCTTAACCCCGATCTCTGTATATACTAATAATAAGTGGGAAGTTTATGGGCCAACAAACAGCTGAGGTCATCGCCGGCCCTCTACGTGTTTTCCATCTTGTATATACTAATTTAAATTACTATATTAGAATACTTCCACTCGTTTGTGCGAATTCGTATTGAATGTGTGTTGTGAAAAAAAGTTACTTCCACCTCAACATAGTTGCCTACCTGATGTAGTTAGTGTTAGTTACTACATTGCAGCATAGTAGCCCACCAGAGCTGGTTGCAACGATATCAACTTACATCCGAGCATAGTTGCTCCACCTGAGCTGGTCGAAATGTTGCCAACTTAAACCTCAGCATAGTTAGTTGCCTACTAATAATATTTTCAAACAAAAATTATATAAAATATTGCATTACACTTTCTAGAATTTCCATTTCCCAGTTGTTTTAATAACGTTGGTTATTAATAATAATAATGTGTGGTTATTAGTGACCGTTAATCGATAATTATTCAGAAATCGTGAGATGCGATCTGGTGTGTAGGTTTCAGAAAAACATTTTCGTTATCGTGCCAACGTTTCGATCTTTCAATTAATTAAGGTTTTTAGTTGAGATGAAAAAAAGCTAATGGCACGAGAGGGATTCGAACCCACGACCTTCGGCTTGATACGCCGCTGCTGGGGTTGAGATGGGGAGTTGATGTCCGAGTGGATCGAGGTCACGATAGCTCAGGTGGCAGAGCAGCGGCGTATCAAGCCGAAGGTCGTGGGTTCGAATCCCTCTCGTGCCATTAGCTTTTTTTCATCTCAACTAAAAACCTTAATTAATTGATATGTATTAATTGGTCAAGCGGACCACGAAATTAGTGAATTAGTTTCGATCTTTATTGAGATCATCTTCAGGGCCTGGGATTTACAAGCATTGTTTACATTTAACAAATACATTTAAGATGTGGAAAAGTGAATTTATACAATGCAAAATATATTTTTTATATTCAATCAAAGCATTTCTACTCACTCAAAGTGTTTGTCTTCTGTAATTGTGCCATTCCTGCGTGACATGTTGACAGTGCCAGTGAGATTTTGCTGTTTTATGTTTATATACGTTGGATTTTGAAGGGGTGGGGAAACGTTGGCACGATAAAGAAAATGTTTTTCTGAAACCTGCATCACACCAGACCGCATCTCTCAATTTTTGAATAATAATAATAATAGTGGTTACTGACTCTCTGCTTATATCAGAAAAGTACGTTATTATTCTAAAATGCTAGGATCTCGTTTGTACCTCATGTTGTCGACTACCCAAAACATACAATATGTACATATATTTATGTATAATAAATTACGTTCATTCCAATAAATTAACATAAAGACAACACCCGATGCAAACATCGAAGTGTGATCACATTTATTCTCCCAGAGTACTAAATATTCCTCAAGACCAATTTTAACCTAATTTTATTAATTACTTAAAAATTATGAAAATGATGTGAATGACAATAAACTAGGTTGGTGCATATATGTGGTCTAATTAAATTCCAATTAAAAAAACTCTAAATACCATATGGAAATGTAAGGTTTGATCTGGTTTTACTCTCTCCTGAAAATTGTCTTTTGATATAAAGTCGCAAATCAATCAAATGAATAAAACAAAAAAAACGAAAGAACATGCTCATATCTGTTTAGAAAACTCAAGGTTCATTTGTTTGGTCGGTTACAAGCAAAGCTGTTCTAATCGTAATATGAGATTCTAACCAATCAGATTTTCAATTAACAATCGTCGTTCAGGATTAAATTATGTAGTTAAACCGTCCTAATCTCTACATACTTTCTCTAAAATTTCTATGTACAAAATGTAATAAGCAAACGTGTGAAACATTAGTATTCCGAGGAGGAGATAAGAAAATCTGAAGCGTCCCGCATTTTCCCGTCCTAACAAGGACTTCCCAAGGAAATCTAATAACAAGGATTGATTCGCTCCGATACAGATTGAGTTTTTGTTTTATTGTTTGATTTCCACCATCTCAACGAAAAGAGAGCGAAATGATATTGGTAACATTGCCCATCGTGAAAGATTTTTTTGCTAATATGCACAAGCACGATTCCACTTTCGTGTATGCACATATACAACACCAAATCAAGATTTTCCGTCAGAATGATTTGAATGATAATCCAATTGTCTATTGTAACGAAAAAATATGGCTTAATTGTTAAATTACAATGTACTAGACTTGGTGGCCTAAATTCGCTAAGAATAAAAGATTCTTGAGTTAATGATAGATTCGGTATTACTTAATTACTAATTGTTTCCCTTGAAACACCTTTATGTTGGGTAGGAAGAAACTTGATTCAAAACTTTTGTATATTAATTTGATCTGCGCTTAGAGCACTAGCATTGGTTTCAAATTAACCTGTACTAAACGTACATTAGTCTATTCGAGGGTTACAAGTATTTCTAACCTCTGATTGTTTAGTAATGATGAGGAATTCGAAACATGACGTTTGGCAACTGCCTTTATTACAATGTTTGCGCTATTTTGTTTGCATTTCTGCGTGTGTTGGTGCATAAATCAGTGAATGTATTATGGCCGTAGGTACTGGTCGACTTCGTTT